CACATGATGTGTATGTTTTTGTAAGATTTGAGATTAAATAAATAGCGTGAGAGCCATGGCTAAAGGTTTATTCCTATCGTTTCCTTTCATTTTCTTTTCTTTTTCCATTCTTTTTCTTTTAGTTTTCTGTTCATTTATTTTTAAACTCTTTTCTTCTCTTCTTTTCTGCTGTATTGTTTTCTTTCATTTACTTACTTTTCTTTTTCTTTTCCTTTCATTTCGTGTCTTTTATTTTCTTTTAGTTTGCTTTACTTACTTTTTTTTCCTTCTTTTCAATACATTGCAATTCAAGAAAATGCTTCAATAATAGTGATATAAACTTCCATGCGAAATCTTTGTTTAGTGACAGAGTTCCACAAGTCCAGTGGGATAAACTCCTGAGCGCCCATGGATGGCACAGCACGTGCCACATCCAGCGCAGTGAATTCGTTGTGGTTGAGACAAAATGAACGTACTAAATGAATAGGCCATTACATCAAATTTGCCAAACAATGAGAGGCGACAGTGAAGTGTCAGGTCAGGATAATGGCATCATGCCGGAGGACAGTGACTTGCCTGTCTTCTGTTTACTTATTTTGGTGCATGTTCCCCCTTTATGCACGATTTATTTCGTGCATACGCTTGCCAGTACAGGCGACGTACTCCAAATAACGCAAAACAAGGCACAACGCAGATGTAGTAAATGAAATATAGTAATAAATATTGGGTCAGCTCCCGTAACGCGTAGCATTGTTAAAACGGGCTTTCTCTCTTTACATTGAGAACGTTTTATTTACCCAGATATGAAATTAGGGATAGAAATGTAATTTTAAGAGAATTATAGATTATGACCCACTTAAGAAGCTGATTCAAAGCTAGTGCATAGCTTACTGATAAGACAATGACATAAACTTTGTTATTTTCGTAAAACTTTTATCACTGTCTCATACATATAAAAACGGCTTAAAACACTTGGGCGAAGAAAGAAACATAAAAAAATACCCGAGTAAGTAATTAGGTCCACATTAGTTTGAAGACCAAAAACCTAGTCTTTAGCGTAAAATACTATTGAATCATGAAAGGTAAATCATAAAATGTTTTAGTCCAAGCTTCCATGATTATGTTCATATTTTTCCATAATGAAAAATAAAAAAAGTCATGTTCTGTTTTCCCACCAGTTCATTTAGAACCTGTTTATCATTAAAATAAAACATTAAGAATGGATATAAAACCACAAGTGAAATCCTTCTTATCTATTCATATATGATTATACATATTCCGAGAAAAGAGATGTCTCTCCCGATGTCACATTTATCAGACATCCTTTAGCCTGGCTCTGATCCACCCATAATCACAACACATATTAAAACCTTGCAAGTTATAAAAAGGTGTTTAATTGATAGAATGAGTGTGCAACGGGGGCATTGTGGGAGAATTTGTTTTTCTATCTAAGGAGTGAGGTGAGTAAGCCGTGTAGCGCTGACCCTGAGTACGGGTCAATACCACCTCTCTTCTGCTTTTCCTGTGGGCTGTGTCCCACATTTCTATTGTAGTTTTGTGTTTATTTTGGATTTACAGCTTGGTCCACTCACTTTGCCACAGGAGAGTTATTTTTGCTTTAATATGGGACACAAAACATCTGAGATCTGTACAGACTATGATAAGGTCCAGATTACCGGTATCTCATTGCCAGAGTGGTCTGGTGCTCATCTTACCTTGACTGATTTGTTGGCACTATGTATCTTACAAATGATATTACCTAGCAGTTCGTTTTTAGTGGTTTCAAAAGATTTGATTGCTTTAATGAATCTGAAAAAAAAACATTCTATCGCAAAGTCTATAGTTTTATCAGTAGCAAACAGTTCAGCAAGAAAGATCTATGTGTGATTCGGCAGTTTTTGTTCACATTCAGTCATACATCCACTCCCACACACTCATCTGTATTGGAGCCGTCAGTGTATATATATGATAAAAAGATGCTTAATAAGGATCTCTCTGTACCTCTGGCGTACCTCCACCTCTGGCGCCTTGGCCTTAACTGATGGTAGCCAGGCTTCAATGATGCAGAAACTAGAATACATTAAAAAGTTTCTAATCATGACCCAGAACAACATAGCGACCCCTCATCCACCATCTACTCCCACTCCCACTACAATCAAATTGACCATTCCTCCCAACACCCCCTCCCTACTCCATCTACACCAACCCACCTTCCTTCCCCGCTATCCCTTCCATCTTCCACTCCCTCCAAGATACACACAATGACTGCCTTTCGTCACAATATCCTTCCCAGGATCCTCACCCCCTGATACTTCACTTCCTCCCCCTTATCTCTCTTCTCATCCCCTGGCTGCCCCTCCTACTTCTCTGGCATGCATTTCTACCCTTATTGTTTCGTAATAGCAATTCTACATCGGCATATTGGCGGTTTCACAGACCTAACCCTCGTCATATTCTTTCTTCCTATGATCCATCCATTGTCTGTCTCCAAGAAACTTTTTTTTACACACCCTCCTGTCCAATTCCCAATTACCATTTTGTTTCTTCCTTACACTCCCTCTCAGTCTCATCAGAAAACATTATATGTTATACCTCCCTTTGAAACCATTGGCCTTTGCACAGTGATTCAAATCTTTCTTCACCACTGGATCACAGTAAGTTCATTCTCCTCTTCCCAGCCCACTGCCCAGCCGTTAAAACTTTACTTTCCCAACTCTAAACACCTTCCCTCATAATTGGAGACTTTAAATTCTGCCACACTCTGTGGGTTGTTTTCACCACAACCTCCCGTGGTCGATCCTTGGAACGCTTTCTCTCCACTGCATATTTTACTTCACTCTCTACTATTCCTCTTCACTTAGCCCTGGGCGCCTTCCGCTCCTTTCCAGTTGAGAGCCTGTACACTGAGTCAGCCATGCCCTACTCTCTCTCCAATGCTATGCTCGTTTCCATCAATTTCTTCCTACCTTTTTCTCCTCTCCAGATTTTTTCCTCCTTCATTTGCTCCACCTAAATCAGACATCCCCCTTCTATTCTTCTCAGGCATTTTCTCCTGTACCTATGTTTACACTGATGTCTCTAAGTCCCCCCTCAGGTGCTGGTTTCGCACTAGTCTTTCTTTCCAGTCCAGTGTCCTTACAACAGAAATGTACGTAATATTTCACAGGGGTTTGAGGAGAATAGAAGGAATTGAAATTCGTCAAAATAAGAAGGACCAAAGCGTTGTGGACGTGAACTGCATGGCCAAGAAAGACAGGAATGTGAGAACGAAAACCGGATTGTCTTTTTTGGCATTTGTTTTAAATATAATCCATGAGTATGTTAAAGTTGAATAAGAACGTGTGCAAGTGCGGCCTTATATTAACCTTATATTATATTAACCTATGGGCTGCCCCAAAAAAATGGATACATCTCATTACAAAGCAGTGATAAAGATACAAATAAATTTACTTGTGGTAAATGTGCTGTAGCCTACATCGACCTCAAGAAGGCGTTTGATTCGGTACATCAAGAATCGCTATGGGAGATCCTGAGACATAGAGGAATACCGACATGGATTATTGGCCTAATAGCAAGCCTATATACTGGTACTGAAAGTGCTGTAAAGCGTGGTGGGGGCCTGTCAAACTTCTTCCCTGTAAACTTGGGTGAGGCAAGGCTGTGTCCTTACACCAACACTTTTCAACACCTGCATGGACTGGATAATGGGCAGAACTAACCAAAGTCATTGTGGAACAACACTGGGCAATACCAAGGCCACAGACACTGAATTTGCTGACGATGTTGCTATCCTATCTGAATCTCTGGAATTACTGGCGGCAGCTCTTGATGCATTTAGCAATGATGTGAAGCCCTTGGTCCTAGAGGTCCCCTGGACTAAGACCAAGATTCAGGACTTTGGGGAACTGTTAGGGGAACCTATTCAGTCAATTCAAGCTTGTGGTGAGGACTTTGAAGTCACAGAGAGCTTTACATAACTTGGTAGTGTAGTCTATGTCTCTGGGCTGTTAGGCCAAGTCAGTAGATGGATTGACCTGGCAGCAGTAGCCATGAACTCGATCAACAAGAAGCTACTGTCTTCAAGGTCTTGATACTGCCAGTTTTGTTCTATGAAAGCGAAACCTGGACACTATCGTCTCTACCCCCATGATCCCTATGCTACTATCCCCATGGCTACAGCATGAGACTGGCACGGGACCTGTTACTTGCATAATCCAGGACAACCAACTCAAGCTATATGGACATTAAGCTCGTTTCCCTGTGGATGGCCCTGCCCATCAGCTTGTCTCTTTGTGAGACAATCCTGGGTGGAGGAGGCCCGTGGGACGTCCTAGGAGGTCATGGCTGTCAGTCCTGTCGGAGAGAGTTGGGAGATGGGTTGAGGGCCTGACTGGAGTCTCGTCATGAGGAACTCTCGTGGCTGGAAGCGAAGGGTGGATGCAGCCATGCACCCCCGTCGGATTTAGCCCCCAATGATGATGAAGGAATTTGACTGGAATATGGAGGAGGAAGATATATTGGGGGAAGTAGATATATCTTGGGAGGAAGGGGGATGTGCAGAGTGAAAAACATGCCACCTGTATAGAAATGGTTATATGCTAGATATATCCAAGAAAATGTGTGAGGAGGATAGAAAGTGGGATGTTTGATTTGGGTGGATCAGTGAAAATAGAAGAGCAATTACAGGAGAAAGGTATTAGTCAGGGAGAGAAGGAAGACATCAGAGATAAGGAATGGGTGAATGGGACAGCAGTGTCTCCATGCGAACAAGGGAAGGGGTAGGTAAATGTAGAGAGAAGGCATGAAGAAGGGATTTTGCGACAGCTAGTTTGGAGAGAAAAATGAGCATAGTTTTTTAGAGACAAATGAATGCGATGTTGAGAAAGGGATGGTAGGCCTGATTCAATGTACAGGTCCTCAACTAAAGAGGATCGAAAGGCGCCTAGGGAGGCAGAGGCAGAAGAATACTTATGGCAGACATAATCAAGGGTGGAGAGGATTAGGCTAATATGGAGATGGAGGAGTGTTTTAAGGTCTGAACCTCAGGATATATATGAAGAGTAGAGCTTGGGAGCCTGTGCGTAAACCCATGTTATGGGAAGATAACTGTTGAAGATGGAGCCACCATGGGGTATCACACACCTTTCCTAGATCGAAGAAGACACCTAATACTGAATCACGGCATGCAATACTGAATCACGGCATGCAATTGCTGTTGTGGTTTGTATTTTGAAACATCTTTGTTTCGGCTGCGACGAAATCCAAACTGATCTGGAGATTTTTTTTTTCATTAGCGGTGAAATCAAAATATGGTGGTAGGGTAGGACTTGGGGGCGAACCATCCTCTCCAGTAAGCTTGCACTGGCAGCTTGCGAGTGCTTGGGGAAGGTAGTCTTGAGGAAGGGCATCAAGTAGGTTTGTTAGGTAGTGCAAGGGCTTCTCAGAAGTGGGGTTTAATGATTTACATAAATAAATGTGCCAGACATCAATGGTCATAAAATACTAATGGTAAAATATTGTGATGGGTGGGGTTTAAAACGTTCTTTATTATTAGAGCAAATGTCCTGAATGTCAACGGTCACATGACATCATAAGAGTATGGTAGTTATGAGATTCAAGGAACAGCTGCTCGCTGACCTGACCAACAGGATGCAGGTGGGCGGCCCCCTGGGCAGGGGCAAGGGGAATATGACCCGCAGCTGCAGAGAGAGGTCAGCCCCAGGCCCTAGGGGTGCGTTCCTAGGCAGGCAAAGGGAGGAATGACCCAGTGTCTCGAGGAATAGGCAGAACGAGTCTAGGCCTCATACAAGCAACACCTTCCCTTCTTGCCTCCCATAGGAATATTCCCCTTGCCCCTGCCCAGGGGGCCGCCCACCTGCATCCTGTTGGTCAGGTCAGCGAGCAGATGTTCCTTGAATCTCATAGTAGTGAAAGGAGTAGAAAGAGGGGAAGCAAATGGGGTAGGAGTGGACTGACAGAACGCAAAGAATTGTGTGCACTGCCAACTTCCAATTTTCGGTTAAATTATACTATAAAAAATATTTCTAATATCCACGTGTAGATTGCATTTCTAACAGGTTTATTGAAAGTAGATATTTGCTGTGACCATTACTCTGAGCATGTCCTTTGACTTTTTTTTAAAGATTCGTAGACGGCGGCGTGCTTTTACTTTAATGGAAAAGATATGGATCTGGAGTTTGCCAGAGGAAAGGTATTGGAGCGGAGCGCCATACAAAGAGTGAAGTTGGAGATCTGCACGTGCGCGAGAGAAAAGGATGGGGGATTTGCAGGTAATTATTTATTTACTGAAAATTTTGTCGCATCAACATTAAAGGCCATTAGCCATGTTCATATAAAGAACACACCGCGATAGTTTTTTGGTTCAGTAAGGCAATGTTTGTGGCTTTCTATAATGGCCAAAACATACAAGTAAATACAAGTGAACGATTAGGACAAGTGGACAGAAGGGGATGAAAAAGAAAGAGAAAAGGAAAAGGAAAGGAGAAGAAAAGACCATGTAAAACTGAGGCGAAGACTGAGGTCCAAGGCAGGGGTGACGCCTACACTGGCCCTCAGTCTCCGCCAACTAAACTGCCCACGGCAACAAAGAGCAAGGGATTGGGGGTCCCCAGTGGGGAGGAATGGTTGATGGTTAATGGTTAAAAGCAAAATACATGTGCTAGACATCTAAGGTCACGTAGCACTATAGTAAATGGTAATGAAGTGTGGTTGAGTTAGTGATTAGTTGCCAAAGCTGGGCAAAGAAATTGACGAGTGAATGGGTTAAGGTCGGGTGAGGTAATGTAAAGGGGTTGGATCAAGTAAAGAATATATGTACGATTGAGGAAGGAAATTAGGTTGTCAAAGCAGAAAGTGTGAGATTCTGTAAGGATGTCGGATAGGTTGCGAGCTCGGTGAAGGGAGGATAGGTGGGGGAAAGCAGTGACAATAGAATGTGTGGAACTGAAAGACGGGCATTACATAGGGAACATAGCAGTTGGGTGACCAGCATCCATCCCAACCGACAAATAGAAGTTGTATCAACAAGGCTGAGAATTAGGCACACAAGACTGACTCATAGGCCGATGATGGCTAAAAGTGAAGCACGGTGTGAGGAATGCCAAGAGCCATTAACGGTCGCACATATAGTGGAAAGATGTGCAATATTCTCAGACCAAAGAGGAAGGTACTGGTCTCCCCCATATACACTGAAAAAATGTATTGGGGGAGGATTGTGACATAGAAGGTCTTATTAGTTTCCTTAGGGAAACTAATATTTTCAATAAAATTTAATTATGCATAATGTTTATGCAATAGTTTTTGTTTATGTTTTGATTTTTAATATATTTATTGTTATTTATGACATTTACTGATAGATTTTTAACGCTTTAAATATTTTAATACTTCAGTCTAACAAGGTGTTCGCCGCTAATGACCATACTGTTGACGCGGCAGACAATTTTAAATAATCAATCAATCATAAGGAACATAGGTGTGGATCAGAGTGTGACATCAGATAGGAGTGTGTTAGATGGCCAATGCGTAAGCGGGCGAGAGTAGTCTCCCAACGTCTGTTCCGATGAAATGGAACTGACCAGGAGGAGATTGAGTTTTACAGTACGTAATTTATTAGTGCGGAGACTTGACAAGAAAGATTGCCGTCGGTTATACAAGGTCTTAAAGTGTGGATAGTAATCTGTGGCTGGGATACGTGAGAAACGTGGTTGGTATGATGTGGACATAGCGGCTAGCGTGCTAGAGTATCTGCCTCTTCATTACCGGGGATTCCAACATGGCTGTACACCCAGCAAAATTTGATTGTTTTATGGCGTGTGGACAGGGGGTTGGTCGAGCGTATTGACTTTTTGAGAGTTAGTGAGTTACAGGAGTCAGTAAAAAATGTGAAAGAGGAAGAGGGGATTGAGTACGTGTGTTTTAAGGCAAAGAGGAGTGCATATAGTTGTGTAGTAAGGACACTGGATTCAGGAGGGTGGGGATATTTGAAAGTACGTGTTGGGAAGGTTACTGCAAAACTAGGTGCATTTGGAGCCGTCAGTGTATACATGAATACTGGAGGAATGAATGGAGACATGATCAAGGAAATGGGTGAGAAGGACAGCAGAAGGAATATTTGATTTTGGTGGGTCAGGGAAAACAGAAGAGCAAATACGCGGGTAAGGTATAAGCCATGGAGGGACAGAATGGACAGAGAACGGGAGGTCGGAGATGGGGAAAAGGGGAATAGAAGAGGAGGGTATCCATGCGAGTGGAGAAAGGAGTAGGTAAAAGTGGAGAAGCAGCAAATGTAGGAGGTAGTGAGGGGAAGTTGATGGAATCGAGCATAACATCAGAGTGAGAGAAGGGTAACCAGTGGGGAGGAAAGTTTCCGGTCGTCCACGAGTAGATGGAGCGTGTCTTGACATACGGTAATGTATACTGTCCGGACACTCTTGTTATTGTGGCATGACTGTAATGTATGAGATTTCAGAGGGAAACGGTGAATTTTAAGATTCTGCAGACATCAGGGAGGATATAGGAGTGCACTCTTTGTTAAGGAAGAGACGTGAGTAGAAAAATGAGATCTGCTTCGGAGAGTTTCTTGGCGTTAAAATAGGCACCAAATTCGGAAGCTACTCGAAGAGGGTCAGATATAAGGCTCTTGTGGATATGGAGGCCGAGGGCAGAATGAGGATGATGATTAACTTATTCAACCGCCAGACCAGAGGTAGGCGTGGATGGTTTTATGGAGGAAACAATTTTATATTGTACGGCAAAGACAAGCCGATGCCTTTTTAAATGATCTGGAGGCTGGTAATTGACTGGGGTGCCGCTCTTGTAGCTACTGCTCCAGGTTGCACCAGCGAGAGGGATTGGGAAGTGAGACATAGGAAGTAGGAGAAAGGAGAATAGGGAAGTGATCACTATAATGAAAATGGTCTAGAACTGACCAATTGAAGTTTAGGCGATAGGAAGGAGGACAAAGAAAGATCAAGGCATGAGGATTTCGCACGCATGTCAGAGTGGGACGGTTTGAAGTTACGAGGATAAGGTCAGTATTTGAGAGTTCTAAGGAGTCACCCCAAAGGTGTGGCGACAGTTGAAGTTGGGGAAAATAAGGTTTCAAAGTTATAGTCAGTAGTCAAGGAAGGGGAGTAGACAACCTATTGTGATCCAGCGGCGGAGAAAAATGCGTATAACTTTGCAAGGTATAGTGGTTTGTTAGGGAGGTATAACATATGGTGTTTTATGGACACGTATGGGGATGATGCAAAAACGGTAATTGGGAATTGGTACTGGAGGATGTGTGAGGAAGACTTTTGGAGGCAGACAATGGGTGAGGGTGTGTCTTTTTCACATTTTTCCTCTACCCCGCCCCTCCTTGGGTTAAGCGGAGAGAAATGGTAGATTGGATAGATGGGAAAAGATGGATAAAGAGGGAGAGGGTGAGGGAGAGGGTGGTGGTGGAACCCGAGTCGAGGCCAGTGCCTGTGGTCATCAAAAAGGGTCGTCTGCCTGGTTGCTGCTGGGTATGGATGGACGGCCTTTCCAGTCACCAGCACCCCATGAGTATGACGACGCGCGGCCTTTGCCTGAAAACGGGCTACATCCGCCGGGCGCCGATCCATGCTGTGGACGGGCCTCAATAACTGTGCAAGATGGCTTAGAAAAAAAGTCCGTTGATCTGTCATTGCACTATATCATTTACATTATCTGATTATATCTTGGCCGTCCTCCTTCCTCTCGAGCTCACGTATTCCTTGAAAGTTGTGCTCGAGGCAAAATACCAGAAGTGGAGATTTCATCTTCCAGCTTTCCAGTCTTCTTTCATTCTCTCACCAGACTTCGCTCGGTTCTGTAGCGCTAATATCTTGAGTTTGCGGGTTTTGTTCGCGGTTTTTTTTCTTCTTTTTTGTGGCCAATTTCTATTCGTTGCGAAAATATCGAATTAAACTCGCTAGTAATAATAACCAGGAAAATAAAGACGCGAGGAGAAGGCAAAGGGAAAAGGAGAAGAAAAGGG